ACCACTGGCCAAAATAAGGTCTGGCAAACAGTAGAAGAACATTCTTAAATTGGGAATAAGTCATCCTCATGATTCTGCTTCTAGGAAGATAAAACCATCTTTGAAAGGCTTTCCAAATGTCAATGGGAAAGAAAGCTTTAATAATTTTTATAGCATGGGGATTTACCCATTATTATGATTTTTGACTTCAGAGATAAAATGGACAGCCACTGTTAGGTATAATTAAAATATTCTTATCAATTCTCAAAATAAAGGGTGATTCTGGGTCAAGCAACTTTTAACTTCGGAAGTTCAACTTCAATGTTTCTACTCATTTGATTCATTCTTTTCTTAATAGAATTAATAGAGCCTTCTAGTATGGCTTTGAGTCTCTCTTGAGAGAGACTGCATGATTTGCTTAAACTTGGGAGATTTCAATTGGTTATTGGTCAAGAATTTATTACTTTACAAGTTCGATTTTATCGGGAGTAATAAAGTGGTGTTGGTCTCAAAGGAACAAGTCCACGTTAGTCCAACTTACAGTTTACAAATAACTGTTAATTTAAGAAACCAATTTACAAATTAGAGTGGCAATTTACTGTTAACTATATAAGGTAGCTGGCAAGAAGACTGATATTGTCACTAGAGCATGAAGGTAAGGAAGTGGAGCCAGATCAGGTTTGAATACTAGCTCTACCACTTATTAACTGGCAAGTCATTTCACCTCACTGTGCCTCAGTTTCCTCCTGTGCCAAATGGGTATAATGATAAAACTTACCTCATGGAATTATATCTTTATTAAAAGAATAAATATAGACAAAGCACCTAGAGTACATGATAGATAAAACACTACGTGCATCAGGAATTATCACTGAGTCCCTTCATAAAAACAAAGAATAGATAAGAAAGTTACTCGGTAAGGACAACAAAAAAGATATTTTGAATGAATGTTGTATAGAAGAAATCATTGTGCATTCGTGTGAATGAAGCAAAGAAAACTAGATTCAAATCATTTACTCGGTCTGAAACTTAGTTTGCAAATCTGCAAAATAATAATAATTAGATCTAATTAAAATGGTGCTGTGAGTACTAATTTAAATTATGTATGTAAAGGACCTAGTATAGTACCTGGCACAGAGGAAGTACCTAATAGAGATCAGTTTCCTGTCAAGATAAAACAATGGGATGATTTGCTTTTCATCAGTACAGGTAATTTCTCATCTGTAAATTGGAGAAAATATGTCTTAAGAGTTTTATAATTGAGTGAGATGATAAACCCAAATTAGTTAACCTAGCCTCTGGTATATAATAAGAACTCAGTGAAAATTAGTTATTGTTTCTCCTCTTCCATATCCTCTTCCTCTTCTTCCTCTTCTTCCTCCTCCTCTTTCTTTCTCTATTTTTTCTTCCCTTTCTCTTTGTCCTTCTCCTTTTCCTTTTTTTTAATTAGCTACAATTTCAGGAGATTTGAGGGATCACCTTTACTCCTTTACTGAAAGCTTGAGAAAGGCCCTTAATGTCAAAGTATCTCTATCATCTTGTCTGATTGTCTCCTTGACTGGCTATCATGTATCTCTCTGTCCATGCATATGTCCATGCCTGTTTAACAGATTGATAGTATTTCCGCAGAAGAATTGACTTCTTTGCTACCTTTGTTGATATATTATCTACTTTGACTCAAATGGTCACATGTTCTTCTCTTGTGCACACACTCTGGAGCCATGCAGACTAGTCTATTTAACAAATATAAAAGATAATGAGCTTCTCAGGAATTTTCCAACAATATTCCAGCTTGGTTATTAATT